TCCAACTCAGGATGGTGAGTGGCATGGAGAGGAACTTGCAGGAGGGACAGGAAACCACGAGTAAGAAAGAAGGGTCTTTTACTGAGTGACTGCAAGATGAAGTGTAATGTAGATAAAAGCTAGGTCATTTACTTTTGTACCCGAAACAGAAATGCAGGTTATTATCTGAATGGTGATAGAGAAAGTGGGAGGTGCAACAAGACCTAGGTGCTTTAATACACCAGTCAGTGAAAATAAGCACGCAGGTGCAACAAATGGTATAAAAACCGAAAGAACTGTGGATGCTATAAATCAAGAACAAAAACAAAGTTGCTGGAAAAACTCAGCAGGTCTGCCAACATCTGTGAAGGAAAAAACAGAGTTCACATTTCGGGTCCGGTGACCCTTCCTCAGAACCCAACAAATACAACATACAATGAATACAACAAATAGTATGTTGGCTTTCATACTTGAATCATCTCACTTTAGGAGCAGGGATGTCTTGCTACAATTGTACAGGGCCTTGCTGAGAATATTGTGTGCAGTTTCGGTCTCCTTATCTGAGGAAGGATGTTTTAACTATGGAAGGAATGCAACAAAGGTTTACCAGACTGATTCCTAGGATGGCAGGACTGATATGTGAAGAGATATTGGATCAGTTAGGACTATATTCACTGGAATTTAGAAGAATGAAGGAGGATATCATAAAAATCTATCAAATTCTAATATGACTATACAGGGTAAATGCAGGATGTCTCCGATGACCAAGGAATCCAGAACCAAAGATCACTGTCTAAGGATATGGGGCAGGCCAAGTTGGACTGAGATGATAAAACTTCTTTACCAGAGAGGAAAGCCTGTGGAATTCTCTACCACAGAAAGCAGTCGAGGCCGAAACATTAAATGTTTTGAAGGAGTTCAATACAGTTCAGAGGTCTGAAGAAATCAAAGGGTATGGACAGAAAGCAGGAACAGAGTACGGAGTAGGATGATCTGTAATGATCACCTTAAAAGGTGAACAGACTCAGGGATAAATGGCCGATTGGCCTACTGCTGCACATATTTTCCATTCTTTTTACTACACTAAACAAGCACAACATCAGCATAGAGAAAATTGAGCGAGGACATGATTGAGGTGTAAAGATTATGAGGGGTATGGACAGGGTGAATAGAGAGCAGCCGTTTCCCTCAGCTGAAGGGTCAATCACGAGAAGGCAAAGATTTAGCATAAGGGGGGTGGTTCAGAGGGGATTTTTCACTCAGGGTAATGGGAATCTGGAATGAACTGACTAGGAAGGCACTGGAGATCGGAAACCTTATAATCTTAAAAAAAATTTGGATGAGCACGTGAAATATCGTAACATTCAAGGATGTGGAACAAGTGCAGAAATTGGGATTAGCATGCCTTTAGTGGTAGTTATGTCGGTGTAGACTCAATGGGCCGAAGGGCCTTTTCTATGCTGTATGACTCTATGACTATCTTATCACTTATTTCCAGTTCTAATTTGGTCAGTTAGTTGAGAATTAAACAGCTTCACTTGGAAATAACTCCACGGATCATGATCATCCTGTAGCCACAAAACATGGTTCACAATAGATACAGGCAACTAGGGATGGGCAAGAAATGCTGGCCCACCAGAGATGCCCATATCCCACAAATGAATACAGGAAAAAAAATATGGAATTCTATGCTGTGGAATTTTGCAGCAGCGTGGTCAATCCCTTTTCCCATTGCAGTCCACAGGTTTGAGTGAGCGAGGCAAAAATAAATTACTCGGTTCTTAACGAAATTCAATGCTATTTTAAAAAATGTGTTTCATTATAAACATGCGACACACAAAACAAAACATGGCCTACATCCAGTCATTCTGTTTATATAAACATTCACAGTCTTAGAATTTCTTAAATGTTACCCTATTCTATCATTTACATTCAGGATAATGTATTCACAATTATATCATTTGTCTCATTAATGTGAACAATTTTTACACGAAAGGCATTCTGACCAAGGGTCACTCGACCCAAAACATTAACTCTGATTTCTCTCCACAGATGCTGCCAGATCTGCTGAGCTTTTCCAGCAATTTCTGTTTTTGTTCACATGAAAGGGTTACAATAAAAAATTCCATCTGAAGAGTCTGGAATTCCAATTTTGTAACTTTCTAATGAAGGATAGTGTATTATGATATTACTATGTCAGATTATATTTTCAGTTACAAGTGATGTACCACAAGGATCTGTTCTGGGTCCTCTTCTATTTGTGATTTTTGTAAATGATTTGGATGAAGGAGTGGAAGGGTGGATCAGTAAGTTCGCGGATGATATGAAGGCGGGTCGCGTTGTGGACAGTGTGAAGGGCTGTTCTAGGTAACAAAGGGACATTGATAGGATGCAGACCTGGGCTGAGAAGTGGCAGATGGAGTTTAACCCTGAAAAGTGTGAGGTGATTCATTTTGGAAGGACAAACTTGAAAGCAGAATACAGGGTTAACGGAAAGATTCTTGGCAGTGTGGAGGAGCAGAGGGATCTTGGGGTTCATGTTCTCAGTTCCCTGAAAGCTGCCACCCAGGTGGATAGAGTTGTTAAGAAGGCATATGGTGTGTTAGCTTTCATTAATAGAGGGATTGAGTTCAAGAGCCGTGAAGTTATGCTCCCGCTATACAAAAGCCTGGTTCGGCCACATCTGGAGTATTGTGTCCAGTTCTGGTCACCTCATTACAGGAAAGATGTGGAAGCGTTGGAAAAGGTGCAGAGGAGATTTACTAGGATGTTGCCTGGAATGGAGGGAAGGTCTTAGGAGGAAAGGTTGAGAGAGCTGGGGCTTTTCTGTTTAGAACGATGAAGGATGAGAGGTGACTTGATAGAGGTGTACAAAATGATCAGAGGTATAGATAGAGTGGACAGCCAGAGACTTTTTCCTCGGGTGGAGGTAGCTATTACGAGGGGACATAGTTTTAAAGTGAAAGGAGGTAGGTATCAGGGAGACATCAGAGGTAGGTTCTTTACTCAGAGAGTGGTCGGGGCTTGGAATGCATTGGCCGGAGCAGGTCGTGGAGTCGGCCTCATTAGGGGCATTTAAGCAGCTATTAGATAGGCATATGGATGATAGTATAAGGTAGGGGTGGAGGTTAGGTAGACCTTAGGATTAGGGTAAAAGTTCAGCACAACACCGTGGGCCGAAGGGCCTGTACTGTCCTATGTTCTATACCTGGGAGACAGGAAGTTGGTTGTGGTTGTTGGAGCTCAGTCATTTCAGTTCCAGGATATCTCTGCAGGAGTTCCTCAGAATAGTGTCCTATGCCCAACTATCTTCAACTGCTTCATCAATGACCTTCTCTTTATCATAAGGTAAGAAGTGGGTATGATTGCACAACGTTCAGCACCATTTGTGACTCCTCAGATACTGAAGCAGTCAATGTTCAAATGCAACAGGACTGGGACAATACCCAGGCTTGGGCTGATAAGTAGCAAGTAACATTCATGTCACACAAATTCCAGGCAACCACCATAGTTTGATGCTCACTGTTGTCACCATCCCCCATTAACAACATCCTTGGGGTTGACCAGAAACTGAACTGGACTTGCCACATAAACACAGTGGCTGTAAGAGCAGGTCAGAAGCTCGGAATACTGCAGCAAGTAACTCACCTCCTGGCTCCCCAAAGCCTGTTCACAACCTGCAAGGCACATGTCAGGAGTGTGATAGAATATTTCACATTTGCCTGGCTGAGTGCAGCTCCAATAACATTCTAGAAGCTTGACACCATCCAGGGCAAGGCAGCCCACTTGATGATACCACATCCACAAGCATCCATGACCGGCACTCAGAAGTGGCAGTGTGTACTATCTACAAGATGCACTGCAGAAATTCATCAAAAATAGATGAAATAGCACCTTCCAAACTCATGACCACTTCCATCTAGATCAAGGGCAGCAAAAACATGGGAACACCACCCCATGCAAGTTCCCCTCCAAGCCAATCACCATCCTGTCTTGGAATCATATCCCTGTTCCTTCAGTGTTGCTGGGTCAACAACCTGGAATTCCCTCTCTAACAGTGTTTACCTACAGCATAGGGACTACACCCATGTCCCATGAGTGAATAAAACAAATCTGCCTGCATATATGTTTATCTCTCTAACTGCTTGGTGAACTAAAGCACACAGTCCAGCAAAGTGATCGCTCCCTTTTTTTGGTTTTACATTCTACCCACATGGCCTTATTTAAGGAACCTTTGAAGATATCTTCCCTTCATTTGTAGTAATTGACTGATCAATATTGCGACATTACTGCCTCTTTTACACGTTACCCGCCCCCCCATCTCTCTCAAAGATTCCATATGATGGAATACTGAGGATCTCGAGCCCTTCCTTCCTCAACCGTATCTCTGTGATCACAGTGATACCACATTCCTATGCGTTAATCAACTCCTTCAACTCACTGGTCTTAAATGCAAGACTAGTACATTAAAAGTATTGCCACTATCTTTTGTGCCTTCATTGAATGTGGGGGAAGCAGGTTTATTTCAGACATTCAAGATGGCAATTGGTGCTTACTTGGATAAAATAATATGTAAGGATATGGAGTAAAAGCAGGAGATTCGCTGATACCATGAACTCATTTGAAGAATGGGCATTGAAACAATGGGTCAAAAAGACTGTTTTTGTACAGTCACAGTTCTAACATTCTGATTCTGTTGTGAAATAGACACAGCAATAGCTTAAACTACACTGTTGGTGAGGCAACATCCATGAGGAGAAACACAGAGTTAACATTTCTGACCTGCTGAGCTTTTCCAGCAATTTCTGTTTTTGTTGACGTTTCAGGGCTTGACCATCTCTACCTGCAAATATCCAACTGAGATTTGCAGCACTGATTCTTCTGATAGAGACTACATCTCCCAGAATGCTCGGCTCAGTTAGTGTTCAAGCCGGGCGTATGGTCACGTGGCAGCTTGGCACCGCCCCTCCGGAAGCTGGCCCGGCTGTGCCGTGCACGCGCAAGGTGCGGGGCCACCCCTGTCAGCGCGGGCGCGCGCGGCGGCTGAGAGCGCGCGGCCCTCGTGGGCTCCGAGTCACTTCCAGCGGCGGCCGCAGCCGAGCGCTCCCCCTCCCCCCTTCGGGCCTCGACCAGGCCCAGGTCCCGGCCCAACGATGCCCATCTTACTGTTCCTCATAGATACGTCCGCCTCTATGAATCAGCGAACCTACCTGGGCACCAGTTACCTGGACATCGCCAAGGGTGCCGTGGAGATCTTTATGAAGGTAAAAAGCGGAGAGCCATTTGAAAGATAACGATCCCCCCGCCCCATCCACTGGCCCGCGCTTCCTCACTCACGGTGCTCTCTCTGTCTTTACAGCTCCGGGCCCGGGACCCCGCCAGCCGTGGAGACAGGTACATGCTGGTGACGTTCGACGAGCCTCCCTACGGCATTAAGGTAAGGCTTCACCCGACGGTGGGGGAGGGGTATTTCCCGGTTCTGGGGGGGTGGTTGTGGTGGTGGTTGGGGGTTGTAGGGGGTAGTGGGGGAGGGGCTGTGGGACTTCAATATGGCGCTACTCTCTTTGTGCGGCGGCGCCGTTACGTCACCCGCCAGCCCATAAACCGGAAGAGCCCGGGATCCAAGCAACACTTTACACACTCAACAGTCCTCCATTCCCACAACACCCCCTCCGTCCCCCGCCCCTTGTCATTCCCACAACACCCCCTCCGTCCCCC